ACATAAGTCTTGTATACTCGAATAAGGACCTTACTATACTAAGTTTCCCATTCTTCGACCTTAGTTCTTATCATGGAATCGTATTTCAATTTAAAAATGGACTTCTGATACGTATAACAAGAGTTATCGTATAACCGTATTTTCTTACGGTGCAATACATAAAAATGGAAACTAAAACTCTAATCAATAATTGGTCAGCAGTACTGAACGATAGGATACCTGAAACCCAATCCCAATCCCGCTTTGACCAGTCCTTGTGATTGAAGAACGCACGTGCGTTGCGCTCGGCCAGCGTCGCCGCGTGTTCCTAAAAGTATTTGTGATCTCATCACCACAGTGAAATACTAAGGAAAAAGAGCTTATCGTTGAGCATGGTGTTTGTTGGCATGGTGCCAGCTAGCAACAGCATGCATATTGCTGGGAACTCGTCCAAACCACTATTACACTGGCTGCAGTCTCGTCATGCGCTTGAAGTCAAAATTGGGTCCAATTCAGCCGCTTTTTGACCGTTTCTCCTTATTTTCCTTTTCATTGCCACATCAGTTAGTATCTGGTGTGTTTTTGACGAATGATCACATAAACATGGCCAATGGGTTTAAGTCTACATTTGAAACAGGAAACTTTCCTCAAATTTTCCAAGAACTGGGTATCGGGAAATATGTTTGGATGAGCCATGCACTGCACTGGCTTTGACGTGGGCTAGTGGAACCGCCGGTATTCTTACCTAGTCAGTTTTTGCCCTCACGGAACAAGTGTCGTAAAATCAAGCGATTTCGAAGGTTGTGCAGCGAGACTTGCTTGGTGCCGCTAATTCCGCTCCTTGTTTTGCATAGACTGGAGACAAAAACGCTGAAAAAGAACATGGTTGTTCTATCAAATAACCACCCACTTTTGCGACGCCATCAAATTTGTTGGTCTCCTCATTTTTATAGGTTTCCACATACTGCCGTTGAACATAGGTGTACTTGTCACACATGCGAACAATGCAGATCACTGAAAGTAACTGTTATCATTTTTGGTACTAGTGTTTCTGAGCTTGTGATCTACAGAATGGCCACAAATTACGGTAACAAGAGCAGTCGCATGCATGTTTAACCCATTCGTGACAATGGCAGCCACCGGGGGCTGAGAAGTCGAATAATTAGATTGAATTTCACATGGCCAGGTTGAAAGACGACCGGAAATTCTCGCGAACAAGGCCACACATATGGGAAGGCCCAAATTTCTGGATTCCTGCCGGACGTGGACTCGTCATTCACCTAACACGCCGCGGTGGATGGGTTGCACGGATATTCGCTCCTTTTTCAATGTCACCATCAGCAGTTTTGGGGAGAAACCCTGTTTTTTAAACCTTACCTTTCATCTAATAGCTGTGTTTTCTTCGATTGACATTTACCATGCTGTAGTAGATTCTCCTGTTACCATACTTCATAGTGTTCCCGTAATTAGTGCCGCGCCAATATAATCCTAGAGCGCGTGCGAGGATTTCGGTAGTACAAGTTTTGGACTACTGGACCACGTAACGAGATTGACCTACCGACCTCTGTTATTCGAGGTTCAAAGCAACAAAAAGAAAATAACGAACCGAGAAACGTGCCGACGCCAAACAGCAGTAGAATCATCCAAGCGTAAATTTGCGATTGAGCCTCCAGATTTGCCGCATCCCATCCATCGAAAGTTGCAATATACAATGCGGGCAGATAACTAAACACCCCGCATTTATAAATCTAATACATTAACAGGGCACGCCAAAAAGGTCACTTCCCGTCCACATTCAAATACGGAATTAATACAGTTTTGCAGGAATCTAAACAAATGAGCTTTCACTTATATTGAAGCAGTAACTAGTCTCTAGCTATAAAAGGTCACAAATTCAGCCTTGCTGCATCGACAACGATCAGACCATCTCACCCACGGAAAACTTGCTTTACAAGATCAACGAGGTCGTCGAGGTACCATAGACCATTACGACGTCCCTAGAACGCTGGGTCAAAAGCAGTCTCGCACAGTCACAGCTAGTGTCTCTTAGAAGCTATTCACCAGTTAATCGGTTGAAGAAATTATGTAGCAGCTTCGGCCGGAACGATTGCGGTAAGCTCGTTGATGGCTTCGACTGTTACGGTAGATGACATATCTGAAACTGTGGTGGCACTGAGAGGCCTGCATCTGGTCTTCTGGGGGACACCCTGGCCGGGTGCAGCAATGCCCTGCACTAGGAGGCTCACCCAACCTTGGGGATCCTCCCCTCACCCAAGGGGAGGGATCCCCAACCTTGGGGATATGTCCCCAACCTTTGGGGATATATCCCCAACCTTGGGGATATATCCCCAACCTTGGGGATATATCCCCAACCTTGGGGATATATCCCCTACTTCGTCGCAAGACCCATCGTTTTTCGGTGGCTCCTATGACGCAACCGTGCGGGACGGTCACTGCCGTCGACCCTCTGCGTCTCTGCAGGCAGGGGATATATCCCCCTAGTCGAGACTAGGGGGATTCGTCCCCTCACTTGGCGACGCGGAGAATTGAAGGCAGTTTCGGGTTCTTTCACCCTTTGTTTCGCTTCGTTATTCGCTCTTCTTTTTTCGTCATTACCTTGCCTTTGTTCATTCGCTGTTTTCTAATGAGGCGCTGTTCACAGTTTTGAAATTCATCGAATATTCAAATTTGCGAAAAGAATCAGATACATATCAACCTTAAGAATCTGCGCACGCGCGAATGCAAATGCGAAAAGGATTAGATGCGTGTCGACATTGTAGAGCACGCCGTATTAGCGTTGCTGGAGGATTTTTGCACCGTCGTTTCGCGTTGTCGATGGTGACGATCTCCGATTGGCTCGACCGATGGACACTCACTTCTTTCAGAAGGATTAGCTGATTCGAATGCGCGATTTGACGCTCGTCCCATTTTGTGGATCGATACGCATTTAATTCTTTACGCATTTGCGCAGATTCGTTCGTTTCAAGCGTCCTCCTCGTGTGGCGCAAACTGTGAACACTGCCTAAGTATAAGGCCCTGTTCAGAGATGTCCGCTTAGGCGAAAAAACGCAAAGGCGAAATAAAATAAAATATGTATCGACTGAGCGACGACGCGTAGGAGAATCGTGAAGTGGGAGGATCGACGAAAATGAGTGTCATACGTATCGACTTCCGAACGTTTCGCTCACGCGATTTTTCGCCCGTGCGTTTCTCACAGTCGATACATATCAAACTCTTGACTGAAATTCGCCTGCTCCGGAAGTTTCGCTTACGCGTTTCCCCATTTTATCAATCGATGCTTATCTAAATCTTGGCGGAGATTTTCGCCTGTGCGTTTTTTCGCGTAAGCGGACATCTCTGAACAGGGCCTAACGGCCGTAACAGTACTGATGGATGATTGGCGCGCTCCAGTAACACAGCCGCGTCGCGATTGCCGTTTCGCAGACGCCCATAGGCCCCACGCATAGTCGGTCGTCCGGCAGCAACGATCGTTGCGGCCGTAAGTGTCGCACTTCTGACGATCGATACGCACCTAATACTGTGCGACACTTGCGATCGTTGCTGTCGGACGACCGACTATGCGTGCGGCCCCAGATTTTTACGTAGCATCCCTTCGAGGTGCGGAAGCCCTGGGTCCTGCGGCGAAACCCTTGAACGATTCTTGTAGAATGTCGAGGATGGGGATATGTCCCCAAGGTTGGGGATGTATCCCCAAGGTTGGGGGATATGTCCCCAAGGTTGGGGATATATCCCCAAGGTTGGGGATCCCTCCCCTAGTTGGGTGAGGGGAGGGATCCCCAAGGTTGGGGATATGTCCCCAACGTTGGGGATCCCTCCCCTAGTTGGGGCTTGCTGCACCCCGGCCCCAGAAGGAACATGGTTTCTGCCGTTAAACTATTCACAATACCGGCATCCCTGTGTCGAGATGAAAAATTTGATGATGTGCGCTGTGAGAAAAGTGCCTTTTTTGCCCTCCCCTGCACATGGAGTTGTGAGTTAAGAGCTTGAGATTAAATCTTGTTGATAATGGCAATCAGGCTCAGAGATAGCAACTGCGTTGGAAATATTCATGATACAGTGCAGCGCGTAGTTGTTGAAACATTTTTCACATGTATACTAAAAATGTCAAATAGTCAACCCACCTTCCCTTCGCCAGACATTTTGTCAAATTCCTGGCTACTTTTATAGTATTCGAGCACAGTGATGTTCACGCAATGATGTGATGTGTTCAATGGGCAGTAGTTATGCGCAAGAAGACAACGATAGTAGCTGGAATATCGAGGAGAATGTCAGGTTAACTGTTGACACGAAATTGCTGACATAAGCTCTCCAATATACAAGGGTTTCACGTGAGTATTGTCCCGCAGTGAGCCACACCTCCAGGAGTGCGTTGCCCCAAAAACGTTCCCCCCCCGCTCCTCCTCTAGTCATGGTTTCTAAACCATTTCGTCCAAACCTCAACTGGAGATCCTGTTTCGAAAATACCATCGCGAAGTTCAAATTACGGACCCCTCTTTCCCAATTAAGACACCGCCCAGTCGCGTGCGAAGAATCCTCATTTGCTGACGCATAAGTACTTTGGCCAAAGCCAAGGCAAAATTCGTTCCTCGAATAAACATGGGACGTGCTTTTCGTTCACGATGGGAACGCATTTGGCCAATGGGGTTTTATTTCTCGACGATATGAGAAGAATACATTTTCTGGGGATAATTTTCTGCAAAGGAATAGAAAAAACGAGAAATTCTGACATCTTGCCTAATCACGTCGGACGGGCAGTCTCGGCTGATTCATTCTGAGTTGTGAACAAAACTTTCGCCCCAGACAGGAATCGACCCAAACCCTCACCCTCGCTTACAGGGCAAGTGCGCTACAAATTACGCTACCGGGCACCATTTCGTTCCAACTCACATTTCTAACAATCAAAAAGAAGTCTCGGCTGAGCTCATCGCAGAGCTGGGTGCTCTCTTCCTCTCGCGAGCAAAGAATTGCTGCTGAAAGTCACCCAGCGATAAACTCTAGTTGTGACTACTATTCGTTTAGATCCTGGTTGTTCACAAACACTATTCACAAGTACTAATTATGGGGCCAATCAACGTACCACCCCAAGATACGCTATGAATAGGGGTGTCTCTTTGAACCCTACTCTTGTATCTTAACTGGTTTTGCGCGGCATGTTCCCGTTTATGAAGACAATGCCCAAAACACTGCAAGGTAAACTAACTCACCCACCGTCCAGGAATACCACAAACAGCCACGCAGCTGGTGCAAGCAGCGCTTGCGCCACAATCTCCACCCAAGATGCGAATAAGGTCGACCATGAGTGACGAGTTTCAGGCACTCTACAATTCATCTCGCTTATATATGATGTAGAGTTTCTGAAGGCAATGAGTGCGACAAATTCTTTGGCGATCGATAATGAACGTTGGGATGTCAAGGGATGCTGCAGTGAAAAACGGGCTAACACGGTCTAAAACCTGGAAAATGAGGCTCTTATTCTGCCTGTCGATTTGTGGCGCTGAAAGTGATTCAACGGTAGTCGATGCCATCATGAAAACGCCGTGCTTCCGTATAAGAGCTAGATAGCGGACAGAAGAGCGGCCATCAGCGAAGGCAACCACTTGGTGGCACGGTATATGATTGAGGACGGAGCAGAATTTTGCAAGGAAACGCAGAATCGTTCAAGAGCGCCTTGTGCTTGAATAAGCCCACCTCTTCTCTGACCA